TTTTTTTTTTCTGTAAATCTGTATAACTTGTACGCTTTTTCTGCTTTTTTTTTCTTTTTCTCCTTAAATAAAATTTAAAAAATGTAAAAAAAAAGGAGCAAGAGTAATTTGTCCATCAACAGCAGAATGTATAAGACAGATACAGTATTTTCATGCAATGAAAAACTACTCAGTTATAAAGTAAAATAAGGCTCTTGTAGGTAAATGGATGCAACTGGAGGTCATGCTCATGGGTAAAATGGTTTACACTCATACACTGGAGCCCTAGTATAAGAAACAGAAGAAGTTAATGGGATCCAAAAGCAAAACAGTTATTGTAAGAGTGATTGGGGAGGAAACACCTGGGAGGAATAGTGGTAACTGCTGTTAATTTCTTATTGTCTTTCTTAAACTCTTGAACAATTTTGTTAGGTTTGGCTTTGTTCTGCCTTGTTAGATTTTTACTATCTGAAGATATGGGCAGCTATTTAGAACATAATGAGATGTATTGTGGTAATCATGGTTGGTTTCCTATTACATTGTTTTGAAGTCTTATAAATGTTTTCATTTGTTTGTTTAATTAGTTTTATTGTTTTGTTTGATTTTATTATGTGTCATGGTATGAACAGCTATTTTGTAGAAAATAAGACATCATGGTAGCCATTGCTGATTTCCTATTATCTTGTTTTCAAGTCCTATTATGCTTTTGTTCTTTTGTTCTGATTGGTTTTATTCTGTTGTGTTTTATTTGATTTTATTATGTGTGATGTATGGACAATTTTATTGAGGAAAATGAGATATAGTAGCCTTTGTTCATTTTGTTATCTGGTTTTGAAGTCCTGTAATGCTTACAATCTTTTGATTGGCTTTATACTATTTTGTTCTGTTTGATATTATTGTGTGTGACGGTATGGTCAACTTTCTGAAGAAAACAAGAGTCACTATGGTAGCTAATGTTGATATCCTGTGGTCTTGCTGTGAAGTTCTGAGTTGCTTACACTGTTCTGTTCTGTTTTGCTTTATCCTGTTTTTTTTTTTGTTTTATTCCCTTTAAAATAAAAATAAAATAAAATTTTAAAAGAGCAAGCAAAGACAGAGAGAAAGAGGACAGTCCAACTGTACTGGATAAGTGTAGATTTGCCAAACATTAAACAATTAGTAAAATATTTCTATGAGTCTAAAACTATTTAGATTTTGAAGATAAAAATGATAAGAATTACTATTTGTGGTACAGAGTGTGTGTGTGTGTGTGTGTGTGTGTGTGTGTGTGTACATCTCACTGACTTCACAGTAATATGGAAACCTAGAAAGGACATCAATTTGGGTACTGATTTCCATCAGGAGTTGTACACTCATATTGATCTTCACTCCATCTATCCCTGTATTACATGAAAAAATAGATACTTGTGCTGAATTTGTTCTTGTGATATCTGTTATGGTTTACATCTACATGTTCCCCCAGTTTCGTGTGCTCAGAGGTGGGGATTTGAGGTAGTATCATCAATGGATTACTTAACTTATAAATTTATGTCTAAATGTGGTGTTGAAAGGTAAAGCCTTTTAGGAGGTGTTGAGTCAGTGGCAGTGTGGCCTGGGAGGATTTAACTTCATTCCTTCTCTCTTGATCTCTCTTTTCTTCCTGCTGCTATGCCAGGAGCCACTTCTTTGCTGCCATACAGTTCTGCTGTGTCACCCTGCCTTAGAGCCAGTGGACTATGGACAGAAATCCCTCAAAACCTGTGAGCTGAAATAAATCTTTCCTCCATTAAATTGTGGGTGTCAGATATTGTGTTCTAGTTGAGAAAAGTGACTAAAACAACATCCCATTTCTTTATTATTTTGAATGGAATAATTCAAGCTTTGGGAAATAGAATATTGAAGAAGGCTATAAGGAGATTAACTATTGTAGCTATGGAGTGGGGCTTCTAGGGATGGCTGGAAAATCATAGGATGGATGTTGATCTGAAAAATATCTAAGGACCCCAGATCTAGAGAGTATCGTAAGTGTATCATAGGGAGATTCCATAAAGCCAGATTGAATATATGTATCTTTTTGACATATATGATAGATAAACAGTATTAATTGGAGTTAACATTGCTGAATAGTGATACTGTTATGACAAAGAAAAGGAATTTGTTTAAGAATTTGAAGAATAATGGTATTAAATACTTTCTGAATTTCTTGTAGAATTCAGCAATTAAGCCATTTTCTTATTGGTAAGTTTTTAGTTACATTTTCAATTATATTGACTGATATTAGGTTATTTAGAATTTTATAACTTTTGGTAATTCATACATGTCTAGTCCATTTCTTCTGTTTTTCATCTTATTATAATATGAGTTTTTGAAGTAGATATTGATTATCTTCTGGATTTCTGCAGAATCTGTGGTAGTTTAATCCTTTTAATTTATAATTACATGAATTTGAGTCTTATTTTTCCATTTTTTTGATAATACTGATTAAAGGTTTACCAATTTTACATAATCTTTCTAAGAACCAACTCTTGAACTCATTAATACCAAAGGCAGAGAAAGATCCAATCAAAAAACACAACTACATGACAACCTCACTCATAAACTTAGAGGCAAATCAATAAGACTCTAGAAACAGAATGCAGCAAATCATCCAGAAGATTATACACCATGACCAAGTGGGATTCATTCCAGAAATGCAGAGTAGGTTCAATGTACACAAATCAAGAAATATAATACAGTGCACTAACAGAGGAAAGTATAAAAATCACATGATCATCTCAATAGACAAGAAAAAGCATTTGACATAGTCTATCACACATTTATGATAAAATCCTATAGAAATTGGAATAGATAGTCCTTATTCCAGCCTGATAAAAAGCCATCTATTACACCCACCAACAGTAAACATTATACTAAATTGTCCAAGTCTGAAAGCTTTCACTTTAAAATCAGCAACAAGACAAGAATGCCCACTAGCACCAATTATATTCAATAGTTCTGGAAACGTTAGCCAGATCAATTAGACAAGAGAAAGAAATAAAAAGAGTAAAGGTAGAAGAGTAAGAAGTTAAATTATCATTATTTGCACATGATATGACACTTTACACAAGATCCTCAAAATTCCACCAAAAGCCTTCTAGATTTAATAAGAAAATTCAGTACTATAGCCGGATACAAAGTCAACACTCAAATATCAATAGTCTTCCTGTTCCCAAATAAAAAACTCACTGAGAGAGAAATTAGGGAAACAACATGTTCCAAAATAGCATGGAACAAATGAAATATCACAATCAATCTAATAAAAGATCGTACATGGAAAAGAACAGTATTTTGAAACTGGAGATAGAAGATGATATCAGAAAATGCTGAAGAACAAACATATTGAAAATGGCCATACTCCCAAAATTATTGTTCAGATTTAACACAATCCAGATCAAAATACCATTAACATAACTCACAGAAGTACAGAAAACATTCCTAAAATTCATTTGGTAACAGAATATATCTAAAATAGAAAAAATAATTCTGGGCAACAAAGACAAGGCAAGGGAGGAAGGCGTGTATCAAAATCCCTCACCTGAAATTACACTGTAGAGATTCAGTGCTAAACACAGAAAGAGTACCAGGGAAAAAAACAGACCCAAGGATCAGTGGAACACATTGCAAGATGGAGAGACAACTCCAAATACACTTAGTCATCTATCTTTGATAAAGGGACCAATCACTTTTACTGGAAGAAAGATGGTCTCTTTAAGTGGAGCTGGAAAAATTGACTTTGCACATGCTAAAGACTAAAACTAGAGCCATATCTTTCACAATTCACTAAACTAAAATCAAAATGGTTCAAAGATCTAAATATTAAAAAAATACTAAAGATGTTGAGAATAAGTAGAACTCTTGAAGATGTAAGGATAGAACAAATCTCCTCGTGAAAAAAGCCTGGATCACAAGGGAAAAACTACAAAACGTCAACAACTGACATCTCATTTTACTAAAAATCTTTTGCACAGCAAAAGAAATCACCAAGGGAGTGAAAATACAACTCAGATAGTTGATAATAAAAACATTTTAGTCAATTGTTGCTCAGACAAAGGACTATTATCTAGAATATATAAAGAATTGCAAAAAAACTATACCTCTCAAATTTAAAAATGGGCATCAGAGATAAATGCACACTTCTCAGATGAGGAAGTACAAACAACAAATAAATACATGAAAAATGTTTAATATCACTGGTCATTGGAGAGATGAAAATTAAAATAATGTTGAGACTCCACCTCACTACACAAAGAATGGTTATTAAAAAGAAATCAACCAATAATAAATGCTGGTGGGGCTGTAAGGAAAAAGAAACTCTTCTTCTTGTGGGAGTGTAGATTGGTTCAACCACTGTGGAAATTGGAGTTGCAATTCTTCAGGAGGCTAGGATTAGAGGTCCCATATGACCCAGATATTCCCTTTCTTGGTATCTTACCAAAAGAATTAAAAGCATCATACAACAGCATTATACCCACACCCACATTTCTAGTAGCACAGTTTGTAATAGCTAAATTTTATAAACAACCTAAATGTCCATTCATTGAGGAATGGATAAAGAAGATGTGGTTTTTAAAATACATAATGGACTGCTACTCAGCCATAAAGAAGCATAAGCTTGAGACATTTCTAGCTAAATGGATGCACCTTCTTTAGTGAAATAAATCAGACATGTGTTTAAATGTTGCATCATTTTTCTGGTGTGAGAAACTGAAATTGTAAATCAGAACTAAAATATATAATAGATATTGTGAAATAGGAAGAAATTGTTCAGAATGGAAGAGAACCAGAGAGGAAATAGGGGGAAAGGAAGATAGGTAAATTTAAACGTGAGAAAAGAAGGACAAAAAGGGAATAGAACAATGTAAATAAGGAGAAGGAAACGGGAGAAAAACAGAGAAATCAAGGTATATCATGTTCAAGTACTAATTCCCTATGATGAATGTGATTAATATGTATATATAAATTGTTAATAAATTTAAGTAGAAAAAATAAAAATGTAAACTCACATTTCTTCTTGCCGATACTGTAATTCCCAGCATGAATAACTCTGAAAATGGACAGTTAGCATTGTGACACCCACTATTATAAGTAGGACTCCTTGGTGATAAAAAGAGGTACAGAATTAATAATTTATCCAGGACTAAGGTTAATTATAAAAGACTGCGAGTGAATTATACATCTGACCCTTTTCAGGATGTATTGTTCTTTGCACTATGCACAATAGACTAACTGATCCACTGATGTAGGGCAACAATAGACATAATTTTTTCCTGTTTTCTTTTCCTTTAAAGTGTTGGCTCTACTTACCAACCCTATACTATTTCTGATTTCGTTTTAATTCTTGCCATCATTTTCACTATTAAATGTCTTAATTCCTGTGTCATTTGAAGTTTAAATTTTTATGTCATTTTGTTGGAAATAAAAGTTTCAGATAATTTTTCTCTATAAATCATGATTTTTTTTCTGGAAATGTTTAAAGTTGGTAGATCTTAAGTAAATAGAGACAGTTTAAAAGTTACTTTGTTTGTTTGTTTTCTGAAATGGGCCTTCATATATATTAGGCTTTAAACTTGTGTCAGTTCTCCTGCCTTAGCTTCCTAAGTGCTATTACAGGCTTGTACCACCACATCCAGCATTAAAAGTTAACATCTTTAACTTATCTTGTGATTTATCTAATACACCTTCTCTTGATTATATTTGCCTTCTTCATTGGAGTTTAAACTACTAGACAAAAAATATTCTTAGAGATTGCTCTGCTCCCTACTCCCAAGACCTTGCATGGCTAAGCTTTCATTAGATACCTATTTAAGTAATTGCAATAGCATTAAATTTCTCTATATAAATTATGTTAATAAATTAGTGAATAAATTATAAATTATGTTAATAAATTATGTTAATAAGGTAGTGAAAATGCATACACTTACCCCATCCAACTACTGTGACAAAAAGGATGAAATGTTGAGGAAAAGCCTTCATGGTCCTAATTAGAAGGAAATAGATCTGTAGGGCACTGAGTCCATGCCACATAAATGTCGCTAACAGAAAATAGTGCAGTAAGGCAGCAATTGCAGTGCAGGCTGGATTCAGGATGCAAACAATGCCATCTGTGGGCATTTGATTATTATCAGAGTCAGTATTTGTACTACGATCATTTGCCTTCAAATTCTTATTGGAGTTTTCAATTCCAAACACAAAGAGAAGGTTGAAAATCAACATTGATGCACACAGACTGACCAGCACCCAGGTTACTGAGGTTTTTCTGACTTTCCTGAAAATAAGTGAATATTTATATTAAATTATAACAAACTACAGAAAAATAATGGGTTGAAAATCAACACTGATGTACACAGATTGACCAACATCTAGGTTACTGAGGTTTTTCTGACTTTCCTGAATATAAGTAAATATTTGTATTAAATTATAACAAGTAAACTACGAACAAATAAATTCCCTTGAAACTGTGAGGGAGTGAAGGAATATTACTTTCCCTATCACATCAGAAAAGTGTACTCTGTTGCCAAGACCCATGCAACTCTGTGGTTCTTTCGGTTAAGGACTGTGATAGGATGAGAAAAATTAGAAGAGACAAAGCTGGGGTCAGGTGAGGCCCTTACCCTCCTGTTGGGAGGAAAGTTACGACTCTTCATTGCAGGGTTGTTTATTTATACAATTTAGCAACTTAATGTCACATGACACACTGTTGTCCTAGCAACCCACTGTTCAGATTGTCTTGGGAATAAGTGTTCTCTGAGCTTAAGCAGCTTCTTCAGGTGGTTTGCCCCCACAGCTGTTTTTGTTCTTGGGATGGTCATGATCCAACCTAGCATGTGTGCTCACTATCCAGCTTCAATGGCCATCAACACTGTTTTTAATCTCATTTCCATAAACTAATTAGTTACATGAAACAGATTGATATACACTCTCTTGAAGCTATGTTCTGATCAAAAGAGGTAGCTAATCTCCAAAATGGCCCCCATGAATCCCAATTCCCAGCATTTATTCACTTTGTAGTCTCCGGCCAGTCCTGTCTTGTATCTTGATTTAACTAATAGATTGCAATAGAAAGTCTGGCAGTCAGAACTGACTTGTCCATTTGTTACAATAATGCTTAGGATCCACAATACTTTCATGGCACATAACAGTTTTAACTTTCTTTAAAACTAGGGGAAAAATAGTGTGAACATTTAAGCCAAAAGCATTAATATACCAATGCAGTCATAAAATATAATTTTTAAATCTTTTTTAATGAAAAAAGACCCCACAAAGGCAAAAATGCCTTGACCTGCAAAAACTCATAATATAGACCTCTTGATAGTTTTTCCGTTGTGACCTTAGGGTTTCTGGGTGACCATAGAAAAATTCTGATCACTCAGTTAAAGAAAGCATGTGGGAGTGCTCTGAGTATATAGAAAGGAAAAAAGAACCAGTTGTCCAAGCATTCTGGGACCAGATAAGTTGGCATCAACCAGCTTCCATCTGCAGTTTCCTGGAAGATCCCAAAAAAGCCCAACAGAAGAATCATCAAGCTGAACTAAATGAAGTCATAGAATTATCAAAGAAAATAATTTGTAGTTTGAATATACTAAATTTTAGGAATTTGCATCCATATACAAGGTTTTTTGCAGAAAAGACTATAGAGTTACTACACATTAATAGGTGAACCATGCTTGAATGTAGAGTAAATTCAGATTTTTTTGCCATATATTATTTTAAATCTCTTATTAATTTAAAAAATTCCAGAAAAGTAATTTTAAATAATTTTATATAATAATGTAATATATTTAAAACAAAATAATGCTTAGCTTATATTACATTCAAAGAGTAACACTAGATTAGGTAAAATATTTATTTTATGAGCTATTGCTACTGATGCTTTTTTAAAAAGTCTAATTTGAGTACACTTAAAATTACTATCTCTTTGGTTGGCTTATATGTAACAAAGTTACATGTGTCTGTTGTGGGAGTCCTCAGAACCTTTTTCCATCAAGTATAGGGACTAACGCACCAAGAACTACACTGAGAAATTTTCAGTTTGTCAGATGGTTTGTATGTTCTGAATGGTCCAAGACCTGTTCAATGTAAAATATGCCAATATGTCTTCATTTGAAGACATAATTTCTAGGTGCACTGTTATTCAACACTATTCATTTTTTCTCACAGATACACCTAATGTCTTTGTTCTAAAAGAATATCTGGTTTTGTGCACAGGCTGGTAGACAAAGCAGTATGTGAGTGAGTGTGGTGTGTGTGTGTTTCTGAGGGTTGAAAGCAGGCCATTGGCATTCCATTGCAATCTGAAAAAACAATAAACACAGTGATACAAAATTTTGACTTGTGGGCCACTGCTGATGAGGGGACAGCCAGACTCCAGCCTTTTCTTCTAAGTTAATGCCATTCACAGACTGCAAGAATTCACCAAGAAGCAAGCCCTCCTTGCAAACCAGGGCCATTCATGGGCCACAGTGGGAACAGCCAGATGCCGGCCTTTTCCAGTATATGGTCTGGGAAACAAGAAGAGCCAATATCCCCACCCCTTCTCATAAGCAACCAGCTGATCCAGAGAAACACAGATTGAGATGATAGCTATTGAGGTGAAATGCAATTTAATGATTGTGGTGTTTGGTGTTTCATTGCCTTTGAAGGTCAAGAGTTGGTGGTCTGATCATTTAATCAGGGAATAATGGTATGCAGTGTGGCATCTATGGGAATCTCCTGAAGATGGTAGCCATTGTTAATTCCCTATTATATTGTTTTGAAGTCCTGTATCATTTTCATTGGTCTGTTGGGTTGGTTTTGTTCTATTTTGTTTTGTTTGATTTTGATATAAAGATGGCATGGGCAGCTATTTCAAAGATAGCAAAGATAGATATATTATGGTAGTCATTTTGGATTTACTATTGTCTTGTTTTTACTGGTCCTTTATTGGCATTCATTGTCTTGTTTTTATTGGTTCTATTCTGTTCTGTTTTGTTTGATTTTTCCTATGTTTGAAGGTATCTGCAGCTATTTTGAAGATAACAAGAAGCAATATTGTAACTGTTGTTGATTTCATGTTACTTTGAAGTCCTATGTCACTTACACTGGTTTGTTTTGATTGCTTTATTAGTTTTGTTTTACTTGGTTTTATTCCCTTTAAAATAAAATTTAAAAAGTAAAACTGCTTAAGTGAGGTTTACAATACTCACAAACTTTTTAAAATGATACAAAATTTTGAAACAAGTTGGTAGTACAGTAACAATGGTTAAAATGTGTATTGTTGTTTTCAAAGTAGTTCATGTTACAAGATATAGGAATGAAAAATTGATCAAATGTTATAAACACAAATCTTTTTTCAATGAACTAACAGAAATTAGTAATATAACTGTTATCTTAGTTACTTTTTACTCATCATTGAAACAAAATACTTGATGCCCAAATTTAGGGAAAGATTTATTTTTTATAGTTCTTGGAGGTTTCAGTCTATACTCAGTTGGCTCAAAGCATGGTGGCATGGTGGGGCTACCATTCACAGCCACTGAAAACAGCAATGTGCAAACCAGCAAAAGAGAGAGAGAGAGAGAGAGAGAGAGAGAGAGAGAGAGACAGACAGACAGACAGACACCTTCTTCCCACCATTACATCATATGCTGGCTTCACCCTTAGGTGAGTGTAGCATTAATACCACCAATCTAGACAACAAACCAATCACAAATGCTAGATTTGGTCGAGTCCATAATTCATGAGGCTCGGAGGCCACTGACATAAACCATGAGAACTGTCTGTCTTACTATATACGTATTTTTACATACATATTATACAAGGGGATTTTGTGAGTGCTACTAGAGTGCAGGTGACATGTATACAATATAAGGGAGGGAAAGAGACTTGCTCTTCCCCTCTTTTGCTCTTGTTGCTTTGCTATCTTCTGCCACCTTGAAATGTTGCTCGTGTGCCATGCCATCTAACTTGGAGCCAGCTGATTATGGACTGAAACCTGCACAAACTGAACTAAATAAACCTCTCCTTCCTCAATTTTGGCTGTCAGATATTTTGTCTCAATAATGAGAGAAAAGTAAACAAGACATATGGTGTATTACACTTTTTCATTTGCATACATTCAACCAACTCTGCATTCCTAGGATGAATTCCACTTAGTGATGGTGTATAATCTTCTTGATGATTTACTGCATTCTGTTTGATAATATCTTATTGAAGATTTTTGCATCTATGTTCAATAAGGAGATTAACCTTAGTTCTCTTTTTAGGTTTGGTCTGTCTCTAGTTTTGGCCTGATACTTGCTTCCAGAAATGAGTTAGGGAGTATTGCTTCCCTTTCAATTTCATTATAGAGTTTGAGGAGTATTGGCATTAAATCTTCTCTAATTTTCTTGTAGAATTCAGCAATGAATGCATTAGTATCCAGGATTTTCTTTATTAGATTTTAATTATATTTTCAATCTCATTAACTGATATTGAGTTATTCAGAATTTTTATGTTTTCTTGATTCAGCTTTGGTAATTCATAGGTATCTAGGAATCTTTCCATTTCCTCTGTGTCTTTCATCCAATGAGAGTAAAGACTTTCAAAGGAGGTGTTGATGATGTTCTAAATTTCCAGAAGATCTGTAGTGATTTTGCCCTTTTCATTCCTCAGTGAATAAATTTGAGTCTTTTCTTTCCTTTTTTAAATAAGGTTGGCTAAGTGTTTATCAATTTTATTCTTTCAAAGAATCAAATCTTTATTAATTCTTTGTATTGTTTTCTGAGTTTCCATTGCATTAAATTTTGCTCTGATCTTTATAATTTCCTCCCTCATATGGACTTTGGGTTTGTCTTGCTCTTCTTTTTCTAAAAACTTGAGGTGCAGCATTAGACTGTTTATTTGTGCTCATTATGTTTTCCTGATGTGAGAATTCACTGCTACAATATTCACTCTTAGTACTACTTTCATTGTTGTATCTGCATTCTCCTTTAGTTGTAGATATTATTTAAGTTCTTACTTAATTTCAATCTGTTGGCTGCTTAAGAGTGTGTTATTTAATTTGCATGTGTTTGTGGATTTTTTGTAGTTTCTTTTGCCATTGATTTCCAATTTCATTGCAGTATGGTCAGATAATATTCGTGGGATAATTTCAATTCCTTTGTATTTATGTAGTTATGCTCTGTGGGCTAGTATATGGTCTATTTTGTAGAACATCCCATGTGCAGCTGAGTAGAATGTGTGTTCTAATGATATTGGATGTAACACTCTATAAGCATCTATTAAGTACATTTGTTCACTGGTTTGAAT